TATTTAGCCTAAAACTAAACTTGTTTAAACAAATAATAAACAGTTTATTTAGATGTTATTGATGAGAAAAATTCAACATATTTTTTTGTTCGGATACCATTTTTAATATTTTAGAAAATTTCTCCGTTTTCGGTTTTAACTGTAGGGTATAGCAGAGTTAGATTTTACCGTTAACTATCTTCCGTTAACTTTATTTTAACTGAACGGAGGACACGAGAATACGAATTTTTTTTAACGCCGATGTTAAAAACTGCCGTTAAGTTTTAACCAGCCGTTAGCTTAACGCAGGGTTTAACGGAAAGACGTGAATACGGCTAAAGAACGTCAGGACATTTTTACAAACCACGTTTCAAACCTTTGGAATAAATTAGCGCAGAATGTAATTTATACACTTACAACCCGACGGGCATTTGTTTTTAAAAGTTACGATCTAAATGTATTTTAAATATCTTTTAAACGTCTTTTAAACATTAATGTTTAAAAGACGTTTAAAAGACATTTAAAACACATTTAGAACGTAACTTTTAAAAACAAATGCCCGTCGGGAATAATCTCTTTTAAAAAGTATGTTTACCATGCTGATTAGGCTGCATCTATGTTAACCGCCAGCGTAGGAAAGCCTTGAGTCGCTTTTCTTCATGAGTATTAAACTTTTTAAGTTTAAGTTTATTGATTATTGTAGTGAATTAAAAAAAATCTAAAATTTATTTGTTTTCAGCTGCAGTCCCACGAGATAAATTGATCTTGGTTTACGGTTATCTTTCGATCAGTTGCCGCTATAAAATTAATTGCAAAACGACCACGAGAAATTACTACTGCCCTAAAGCCGTTAATTTACCTTTAAGCAAAATATCGACCAATGATGACTCGTTTTGGACATGAAACAAGTAAATAAGTATGACTCGTTTTGGACATGAAAAGCAAATAAGTATAGCAAAATCACGGTGAACCTAGAAATGTTTTTTTTTTCATAAGATTAAAAATAATAATAATAATAAAATTTAACATCTTCAGTTTTCAACACAATGCCAGTATCTGTCACAAAAGGTAAACGACATTGAAGCAAACTAAAGTTGATAAAAAAAATTACAGGGCCGTTATAGAACAAGGGCGTCTATGGGACACAAGTATAGAAATAAAAACGGTCTTAACTTGTATAACTGTACATCTTTTAATATAAATTCTCTTTGAAAACATGCATACTTATAAGGGCGCTAATTCCCCGGGCGTCATGAAAGTTTTCGACGGCCCTGATTATAAAATGTCTCCTCACAATCCAAATAACACTATAGAGGTATTAGCATTTTACCTATTTTTACAAAACTTCTTAAATATCTGATGAGTAGTGAGCCATTCCTATCTAATTTAGTCTTGAGCAAAATAGTACTACCCTGAGATTTTTTTTAGTGAAACAATCAAGTAAATAAGTGTGTTATAATATATATACATACATATATATATATATATATATATATATATATATATATATATATATATATATATATATATATATATATATATATATATATACAGCGAAATAATATAACACACTTATTTACTTGATTGTTTCACTCAAAAAAATTTTGATTGTTTCGCTTAAACAAAATTTTTTTTGATTGTTTCACTCAAACGAAATAATATAACACACTCAATATAATATTGAGTGTGTTATATTATTTCGTTATATTTATTTATACTATTTTATTTATATTATTTCGCTGATATATATTATTATATTGCGGACTTAAAGTATTTTTGCGAAAGACGCACCAATCTACCATGGTTGACGCAAACATGGTTAATATTCCATGTGATTCGATTATTTATATAGGTATTTGAACGTAATTAGTAGAAAACTAACACAAGGTTCAAATAGTTGACATTTATTTGGTACATTTATGGCCTAAGAAAAATTAATCATTATTAAAATAGGGGAGAGTGGGGCACCATTATAGACTAAATGTTTTTGCTTTTTAGTACTAGAATATTTTTGTACATTACAAGGCGATTAGTTTAATTTGTAGAATAAATTTATACCTATCAAATTAAATTTATTAATTACCAGAAAATGACAGGTTAAACTTGTGAGACTATTTAGAGTAAAATTCGATTTTTTTTATTAAGGTATCAGTATAAAGATGTTAATACTAATACCTTAATACATCTTACTCTGTATTACCCACCCATAGTGTATCTTTATACAAACAATAAGCATAATTTAAAAAATTAATATAAAGTAGAAAACTTAGAGAAAAGGCAGAGTTTTACTTGAAAGACAATTTAATAGCCATAACCCAAATAATGCATCCAATGGTCTAAATTATAAAAAATCCAGATAATATATTGTTTTAAATATCTTAAGCATCAATAAATAATGGCTATGTAATGAAATTAGATCTTCTAGTATTATATTTACATACATCTCTTTAAAATAGACTATAAATAATAAAAGAAATGATTTTTTAGAATTATTTATGACAATGGAGTACTATTCTACAGCGTTAGGGCCCCCCCACAAATCCCCTCTGTATCAATTTACCCCATTCTTACTAAAAAAAAAACAGTTGCATTATTTTTAATATCAACTTGTTTTTTTAATAGTTTGGTTTGCTGAAGCAAAGAGCTTATGGATTGTAGTTTACAAAATAATGTTACTTACCAACAGACACATTCAATAACATACTTTAAACCTTGGCAATTTTTAAAACAAATAAATTACTTAGATTGAAAAATAAAACAACAATTTTGACTCCTTGCAGGTCTAATGATATGAAATGATATAATTTTTTTTCAAAACATAACTCTAGCAGTCACTTTTTTACCATATGAAAGTGGTTGTCACAGCTCTTAAGATATCCTTACAATTACAATGTTTAAGGTGTCCCATGTATTGTGGTGTCCCACTCTCTCTTAATCATTATTAAATGAAGTCATTATTTCATATGTTGTATATATAATGAAGTACATTATTTTAATGAAGTAATAAGTACATTATTATAATGAAAATAATTCAAAAGTTATAGTAACAATTTTTATGTTTGTATAATAGCAAATTATTGGTCGTTATTTAGTAAACTTTCTGAAAAGACATAATAAATAATAATTAAGTAAACTTTTTGAACTAAATATTTTAAAATCTGAATGTTTAAGATTTTTAAATTAATACCTCAAAGCATGTTTTTGATTAATTTAAAGCTTTTTATATTCTTAGAGGTTTATAGTTTTGGAAAACCTAAAACAGAGGATTATAAACCACGATTTTTGCAAAAAATGAAAATTTTCAGAACCTTTTAATTTAAATCTCTAAACAATTTTATTTAATTTATGTAGTTATTATTTAATTTATTATATTACTAATTTCTAAGTTTTTAGTATTTTATTCTTTTAATTGACCCTATGAATTGGCTAAAACTAATCCATAAGTTCTTAAATTTTATCAGAGTTTATAGACACCATAACAAAACTTTTGAGATGTTTACTTCTGGGAAATTCCAATTTTTTATTTTTAAGATCCGTCCTAATATACAATAAGTACTGTACAATATATAAGCAACTTAACTTATTGTAAAGTAACACTATTCACATTTGCAGCTTTTCCTCTGCATTTCCTTTACTAACAAATTAATAGAGTAAAATTCAATGACTCAAGAGATCTAACAAAAAATTTAAATAAAAAAAGTTAAATTGAAAAGTTAAATTGATATACTGTATAAAAATATTTAAAATGTTGTCCTTTAAGTAAAAGCTTGTTTATTGATTCTTTATTTTTTCTTTATTAGTTCAAAGCTCTGATTTTTATCTAAATTTATGTTAATTTTAGTATTATATACCTTAAATGTTCATATTATATATTATACATATTATATGTAGTTATATGTACAGGTTAATTCACAGATGTCACATTTTTCTCATTTTGAGAAAAATGAAATTTAGTGTTTAGTGACATTAGATTATTAATAATATATTCAATTGAAAGTTTTTTTTCTGACATTTTAGTCCTAACATAATAAATAAATGCAGTTTTTGTGCTAAATACAATAACTATTTATTCACAGTATTTTTTTAAAAGCAAGACACTCATTTTGGACATCTGTGATTTTCCCATTGTAAATTCATCAACTTATAAACCACAATAGCTTGTAAGCTTTTAGAAGAGTTATTTTTTTTTTAAGGTAAATGGTAACACATTGTAATATACAACCACAACATCCTAAGCGTGTGATGGAATAATAAAGCCTCCCCCCCCCTTTCTTTTTATAAATGGTAACACATTGTAATATACAACCACAACATACTAAGCGTGTGATGGAATAATAAAGCCTCCCCCCCTTTCTTTTTATACAAAAAATTCAAATAAAAAGTTATACAAAAGTTTTTTTTTTAACTTTATACAAAATAGCATTGCAATCTTATCTCTTCTCCAACCCATATATTTATTTTTTAAGTTTTTTCACTCATCACTTTTAGAAAAATACAGAAAAGTTTGAAAAAAAAAGTTAGAAACAACTAAAAATATGTTTTTTTTTTATTTTCCTTGCAATTTTTCCTTGTAAAAGCAAAATTACAAGGAAAATAAGGGAAAACATTTTTTTCCGGATGTTTTGCCCTAACTATTTTTCAGATTTTTAAAATATGACTTAGATGATCTATACCAACAGTTTCATCATAGCAATAAAAATATAATTTTTTAGTTGAAAGTATATTTGTGTTTAAAAAATAAAATAGCAGTTGCCTGGAATAGTATACATATTGATTTCAATCGTTGAGGCATTTTTTTTGAGTTTTGAGCATGATGAGTTGGAAGACATGCAGTTCTTTTGCTCTAATAAAACATAAGATTATATATATATATATATATATATATATATATATATATATATATATATATATATATATATATATATATATATATATATATATATATATATATGTATATATATATATATATATATATATATATATATATATATATATATATATATATATATATATATATATATATTTATATATGTAGTTTTTAGAAATCTTTTAAGTTATATATGATGTATATTCCTTGTGCTGAAAATGATGACAAGACTGAAGTGTTTCATAAATGCTCAAGTATGTTGTTTTTAATCAGTTTTTTTTATGCAAACTTTTTTATAATGTAAATATAAATTTTATATAAAAAGAGCTTATGATAGAACAATAGTAATATTTTAGTAATATTTTTTCTTGGTTTATCATTGGTTATGATTGGTAGACCAGCATTTCACGTCCAATTACATCTTATATATATCTATAAAGTTATCATCAAAGTTATCATCTTGATGTAAAATTGTTATTAAAAATATTATTATCATGCACCGTAGAAAATAAAAAATATAAGGCAATTAATTCGACCGGCTAACAAATGGGGTTGACAGTCAATTTTTTTTTTTTTTGGACAGTCAAAATTTTTATTCTTTTCTTAGTTTAAATTTATATCTTAGTATTATTTTTTTATGACTGAAGTTTATAAACACAAAAATAAGTTAATGCCTAAAAATTAACGAAAGCGTATTTCTTTTAAAATAATAACTTTAAATAAATCAATGCATTTTTAAAATGGAAACTTGCAAATAATAAGCGTTTTAACCAGGGGCATCCCTAAGATATCTTAAAGGTGAGGGGTGGGGGGCGGTAATGAGTGAGGCCTAGAAATTTTTATTTGCTAATTAAGATCTGTAAAAGAAAAAAAAAGGTCCTCTTTGGCTAACATTTGCTGACTGCCAATTAAAAATCTTATTTTGCTGACTGCAGTGTCCAAGTTATAGAAGGTATAGGAGGGTTAGACACTTCTTTGCTTCCCTCAAGATGGCCCTGGTTTTAACTACCTGCTAATAATAATAGTTTTAAATAATTCTCGCATGCAAAGGTTTTCACTCAATTAAAAAAAGAATTTAAATTAAAAAGATTAAATTCAAAATTAAATTTTTTTTTTTAAATATCAAACCAGTGTTAAAAAAATATTTAAAAAATGTAAACTGAATACTTAATACCAGAGCTGTGGAGTCAGAATCACAGAGTCACGACATTTTTAGCGCAGTTGGAGTTGCTATGCAAAATTGCAATTTCAACTCCAATAGTAAAACTACTTGGTGTTGAAGGTGCATGTACAAAATATTCAATAAACCTTATTTTCGTACTAAACCTCAAAGAACTTTTCATAAATTTGGCAAGAATGAATTTTTCAACTTATCTCGTAATATTTTTTAAAGAATTTAAAGAATTTTTCAAAAATTTTGCTTAGGAGTCAGAGTTGGAGTCAAAGTTTTACTTTAAAAATTTCAAGGATAGGAGTCGGAGTCGGTAAATTTATTCAAAAATAATTCATTGTAATAACTTTGCAAATGGTGGGAAAAGCTATGAGAAAAATAAATGAAAACATAGAATCAAAAAAGTTTTAAAGACAAAAAAGTACAGTTGAAAGGAAAAATATACTGAGTTAAATACACCAAATATTAAATATTATTTTTAATTAAATAATTAAATTTTATTTATTATTAATTTAATTAATAAATTTAGTTATTAATTAATAAATTTTATTATTAATTTAATAAATAAATTATTAACATAACTGAAACTAATCTATGTAAGAAAAAAAATTTTAAAGCAAAAAAACAGTAAAATGATTTAAAGTAAACAGTAAAATGAATTGGTGTTTAAAATGATTTCCAACAGTAAATATAATTTAAGGTAATACAATAGTAAATTAGTAAAAGTAATACAATAGTAAAAGTAAGGTGTAATACTAGTAAGGTAATACAATAGTAAAAAGTAAAAGGTAATTTAGCTATGATTCTTGCATGATGCAACATACCAAGAATACAAAATATGAACCTTTCTTTTTGAGAAACTGCCTTTAATGATTTTAGGTGTTTAAAGAGCTGATTGTCTAGATCAGACATTTTACTACCAGGAAAATTTTATTAAAGTGGGTAATATGTCTTTCTAATACAAGATGTCTACAGTAATTTTTTTTATTAAAAAAACTGAAACTAATATAAGTAAGCAAAAAAATTATTAGATATAGTTTACCTCACATACAATGTTTGTCAACAAAGCATATCGCAAAATTTTGGTTGAAAAACATACCGAAAACCAAAAAATTTGTAAGATTTTAAATTTTTATCTAATTTAGAAAAATAGTTACTTTTGAGATCTTTCACAAAATATTTTGAGAATTTGCACTAAAGTTTTGAGAATTATCACAAAATACCTCGAAAAATTCTTGTTTTGCAGAGAAAATTCAGTTGTTAACTTTTGCTATTAACTTATATTGCCAACTTATGTATTAAATCTCAATTTATTATTTTTTAATATACTCAAAGACTTGCTTGTTGTTAACTCAAAATAAGCTTTTGCCTAAAAATAATTTTAACAAAAAATCTCAAATTGAATATAAAAAATGTGATACCATTTTTTATATATTCATTATTAAAAGCGATATCAAAGTTAAACATTTTCTTTAAATACGCAAGTAGTTTTGAGTATTTTTTTTTTTTTAAAATCTTCTAGAACAAGAGAATTTTCATCATCTAAAGTTCTTTTATTCAAATAATTTTGCAATTGAAATTTAAAATTAAAAAAAAAAAATTTAATTTAAAAGAACTTCAATGATCAATAATTATAAATTGAATTGCAGCAACAATTGTTATACCCAGTGGCACAGTGAGGAGCATTCCTGAGGGTTAAACATAGATTTAGCTACAGTAACAATATCGGATTCAGAACATTTATTTAAATCATTTTGATTAGTCAATTATTTTTTATTTCTTTAAAATAGTTTCAAAAGTAGAAATACTCTATTACAAACATTAAACCAGTGATTATTGCAAAGATTAAACCAAAAATTAAGTTAAAAAATAAGTTATTTAACTTCTGTTCAGAGAAATTTTTTTCCAAAAAAAAATAATTAAAAAATAGTTAAAAAAAAAAATAGTTAAAGAAATATAGTTCGATTTATTAAAACAAATTTTTTTTCTCTCACTTTTTGATAGAAAAACAATTTGAACAAAAAAATTGAATGAAAACGTCAACTTAAAAACCATTTAAATAAAAAGGTTATACTTAAGTTTTTAATAGCTAGATCAAGAAGCAATAAATTAGAAAAAGTTGTTATCTAATGGTTTTTTGCTTTTATATACCTCATTTGGTCTAAAGCATGTTTTTGCGTAAATATGAAGTTTAAAATTTTAGGAGGATAATGCTTTAATTTATTAATTAGAACAATTCTATTTATTTACTTTGTTTTATTTTAAATGCGTTTTATAATTTTTAACGTTATAAACTGTATTAAACAGCGCTTTAGAATAACACAACTTGTGTTAATCTGAAACAATATAAAGAGCTGACTATTTTTAAAATTGTCACAAGCTTATTATTTTGTCAAAATAACAAATTTGTTATTATTTTATAATAACAATTTAGTACTCTTTAAAAATAACTCGTTTTATTTTCAACATGAATGTATTAAGTAGTTTTCTATAACTAATTAAATAGGTTTAAATATTGTAATATTTACCTTTTTGCTTTTAGTTTTTTACTTTTACTTTTTTAAGTATTATATTAAGTAAAAACAATTACTAAAAGTTATATTCTAATAGTATTAAATACATTACTTATTACATTATAACTTGTTCATTACACTATAACTGCAACTTTACTTTAAATTATAACTTAAGCTGTAAATTATAGCAGTAACTTACGCTATTTTAAATTTCGCCAAACAAGAAAATTATAAGATAATATTTAAATGAGAGATAGTATGTTAAAAAAGCAACAGTTAAGAACTAATATACAAAAGATACTACTTTATGGTAATGTAACCCTCCTCCTCCTTATCAAAAAGCAGTGCAAGGGATTATAGAGGAGGTGGGGGTGGGTGATTCACAGTTTTTTTTTTTTTTTTTTTTTTTGCAATTAGATTTTTTGCATTAATTTGAGCTCTTGATATATTATAATTTGTAATTACATTTACTATTTAATAAAAACTGGCATATATTTATATATTTTCAGGGCACGACAAATTGACAAACATCCGAACATTTGTTAAAAAGAAAGAAACGTTACCTTTCTTTACTTTTACTTAAGCAAACCTTGGTGTTCGTTCGCCTTTAATTTTTTTAAACAAACGCATTACTTCAGCAATTTTTTTCCAAATAATTATGCAATATATAGTTTTTTATTTATTATAAAAAAGCATATATTTATATTAAAAAAAACTTACTTTAAATTATAAAATTCATTTTTAATGACTCTAAAAAAAAACAATTACTTTCATCAATAGCATTACTTTTAAATTAAATAACTAAGTACGCTTTTAAAGAAATTATTTATGTTTTAGCATGGTTTTTATTTGCGTTTACAAAAGTGCGCAAAATTTTACTTAAAATAAATGTATTTGCTATTACTTTAAAAGAAACCATGCAATGTTTTTTAAAAAAAGCAATGTTTAACATTGCTTTTTTTTAAAAACTTTTCTTTTTTTCCTTAAAATGAAGTAAAGTTTGTTTGCATACTAAAGACACTTTTAAAAGTTTTGGAAAGAATTTTTAAGTTTTGTTAAAACATATATATTCTAATATAATATATAGATTTATTTTGTTTATTATAGTTTAATTTATTATTATAGTAATAAAATGATATTTTTATAGTTAAATACTTAATATTATATAATAAATACTTAAAATTATTATTTTTTTTTGTCGCTATTTGTATAATTTATATTTGTATATTTGTATATATTATTTGTATATCATATTACTTATTTAATATTAACTTAACATAATAACTTTTTAAACACTTAATATGATATTATTAATTTTAAAGGTTTAAAAAAAGAAATATTCACTATTTAGTATTAATGGATAACAATTTACAATCATTAAGTTATTACATATTAAGCTCATTTTCTACAAGGCAAAATATTCGCAGTAAGCAAATTTTTTTTTGTTGTTAAGCATGCACATATAAAACATTTCTGCTAATTTTGCTAATCAATTAATTCGCTGCAGCAAAAAATATCTTTTTTGCAGATTTTTATGAGCGAAAACCAATCATATTTAAATAGTATCGTGAAGTCAATAGTAAAAAAAAGCAAAAGCAAGTTGTTTTTAAATAACAACATCAACAATAAACAACAGCAACAATAAACAAAATGCTTAACTTGGTGTTGTTATTGAATTACTAAAATTCACCGTAAAAATTGGCAAGCATTAGTAAATTCATCAAATAAAGATGAATTTACTAATGCTGTCAATTGCAAAAAATTCACTTCATAAGAAGGTTTATCTCCTTTCAGAGTTAAAACATCTGGATTAAATAGTAGTGGTAGAAGTAGGAAAACATGAAGAGAGTGCCTTACAAATTGTATAAATAAGCTTTAGTTAAGGAAAGAAAATACTCTAGATTGTTTATATTAGAGAAAAAGCATAAAAGAGGAAAGCTAAAGCCAGATGATGATGATAATGATGATAACAATGATGATAATGATAATGATGGTAATAATGATTATAATGATATGGTTGATTATAACTTGATCAGTAACAGTTTTTTTACAGAAGTGTTTCTATAAGAAGTTAGCGTAAACTTATAGCTGCCATTTTATTATTGATAAAAAAATAGTTATACGAAAAATAATAAGCGGTAATTAAAATATTTCGTCATGACAAAAAGTTTCTCTTCTCAAGATTTTTTTGTCTTGTGGAAAATGGCCTTTAATTATTATTAATTTGTGCAGACTTTGTAAACACATGAAAAATTGTATTGAAACAAATACAAAATTGGTTAAATTCAATAAGCATCTTTGATATATCTAGTAACTTATCAACTAGAACAAAAGTTATTTAAAAATAAAACTCTCTTATAGTTAAATAAAAGATTATTTGAATAATAAAATCATTTAAAAATAAAAATCCCTTATTTGATATATACCTCTTAAATTAGACGTTCGTCAATAAATAAAGGTACAAACGTCAACATTTATTAAAAAAAATAATTTTTCACGTCCTGATTTTTAAATTCTAATTTATTTAAAAGAGGTGATAGCTCATTTGAACATTGACAGTGATAGTATTTGTAGAAAAAAGAAAGAAATGCAACCTTACAACAATGTGAAAATGGCTTAAGCTTGGCAAGTCTATTTTATTTACCATGTGCTTTTAGATTTTATCTGAGAGTAAGAGGGTTGTTATTTGTCAATATAGGAATGCTAATAATATTGCAATATTTTTTTGCAGTAAATGAGTTTTGTTGTCTAACAAAAATTTTGGATTTTACGTCTAGAATTTAAATCCATAAGCCACTGCAAGACTTAGGCTGTTACAGAAGAGAGATCAGATTTAAAATCGGCCTCTTGTTCTAAGCAAATAAAAAGTAAAGATTTTTTTCAAGACAAGAGTATAAAGTTGAGTTGTCAGCAAATACAGCCATTTTAGATTTCATGAAGATCGTTATTGTGGATAAGATACAATATAGCAAAGAAAGAACATTGTGATACCCTTCAAATTAATTGAAATAAAGAAGAGAGTAGGCCTTCAAGAAAAACTTTACTTTTACAGTTATAAATAAATGGTTTAATAATCTCAAAAACTTTATTTAAATAAATTATTAACAAAGTAAAGACTAATTATAGAATAGCTGGAGAGGTCTAAGTGTTTTCTAGAGTTTTTAAAAATTGGAACCACTTATTTAGCACTTTTAAATAGTTTAGCAAAAATTGAAGAGTTCTGGAGAACACTTTTTTAAGACTATGATGGAAATCTTATCAGAAGCACTAATTGTAGAATTATTTAATTGAGAATTAATTTTAGCATCGGAAGCCAGAGTGATTTGGGTGTTTAATTATGAGTTAATCTATCTAACTGGTATGACTGGAACAGTATGACCATTAAATTCAAGAGTCAAGTTAGAGGAAAAGTTTTTTTTCCAAATAACTCTACCCTATTCTAGGAAGAAGTACATAGATTAGACCCATGAAAGATCAGAACCACGAAAAGATGCTCATTTATGCATTGAAAGTTGTATAAATTTTTATTTATATTATTTAATTGAATAAAATTTTTTTATAAGTAAATTAAAAAAAGTAAAAATTATTAAAAAAAAAATTTAATTTTATAAACGACAACTTTAAACAGCGATCTCTTTGAAAAACTTTATATAAGAATCATTTAAGTTAATTAACTCTAAAAGTAAAAATATTTTGATAAGAAAAAAAAAAGATAAACTTTTTGAAAGCTGTTTGAATTAAATAACTTAGATCTTAAAGTTTTAATATTATTAATTTAATATTAAAGTTTTAATATTATTAAAATGCATTTAAATAAAGTAACAAATCACTGCTAATGATTTTTTACAAAAATATTAATGAATAATAATATATATTTTTTATATTTATGTAAGTATATATTTTTTATAATATCAACTTTTTAAATAAACAATTTAATATTTTTTTTTAGTGTTGCTGAGAATCTTTTTTTTTAATTTTAAATGTACGTATTTATTAAACAATGGTAAGATGTAAGTTGTTACTTTATCTAAAAAGCTTTTCACATAATATTAAATTATAAAAACAATAGCAAAAATAAAAGATTCAAAGTTATTTATTCCAAACGTAATTTAGATAATCTTATTGTTATAGTTTATTATTTATTTTAGTTAAGTTTTGTTTTTATTTTTTTTAATTTAGTTTCAGTTAAGTTATTTTTGTTTTATTTTTCGTTATTTTTTTTTATGAAGATTTATTTGCTTCTTCTACGATTTTTTAAGCTCCTTTATAGTTAAGTTAAGATAATTATTTTAGCGCTTTAAAACATATACAAACTTTCAAAACATATTAACAGTCGTGGTCAAGTTTTCAAAATCACAGAGTATTTGCATGGCCAAGCCTGTGTTTGCTATTTATTTAGATGCTGGCATACAATATTCTTACTTATTTATATTAACTTTAGTATTTATATGGTATGGTATTTGCAGAAAGAGAAGATGATCATTTGGATGTATGGTATGACTCTAACAAGAAAAGAAAATGAAGCATGATCTTTGACAGATAAGAAAAAAAACATTGTATTGAACAAGGTTTGTTAGAAAAGATATAAGTGATTTAGGTATCAGCATGTAGAGAGGTAGCAGCTTCAGGATTAGATAGCAGTGGTAGAAGTAGGAAAACATAAAGAGAGTGCCTTACAAATTGTATAAATAAGCTTTAGTTAAGGAAAGAAAATACTCTAGATTGTTTATATTAAAGAAAAAGCATAAAAGAGGAAAGCTTAAGCCAGATGATGATGATGATAATGATGATAACGATGATGATAATGATGGTAATAATGATTATAATGATCTGGTTGATTATAATGATGTTTTTATATGCATATTTGTACAAATATAATATGAAGTTTGAATTAAAAAAATGCTTAAGGATATATAAATGTTTATGGTCACAAACCGGGCCCCAACCCCGGTTGCTTACTACCGTTGGCTGGTCGTTATTTTCCACACTGTTATCATGTAATCATTATTACGTAAAATTATTATTACATAAAATTTTTATTGTGTAAAATCATTATTGTAAAAATTATGAGACATATTTATAAATATAGTCATATTTATAAATATAGTCATAAAATTTATAAATATATAGATATAAAATTTTTGTCAGAGATTTAGATCTCTTTTTAATGATTATAATAAGTAAGTTTTTTACTTGTGTACAAAAAAAAAAGATGGCTTGCAAAAGTTTTTAAAAATTGAAGCCTGGAATCAAAAAAATCTAAAAATTTGATTTTTGTCATATTTGTGATAAAGGATTGTCTATAAATTTTACAACTCTAAATTCATTTAAAAAACAGAAGTTGAAGATCTTAAGTTCTTTACACTTTAATCTTTTACACTGTACTTTTCATTAAACCTTGTGTGCTATTTTGGTTTTTCATTTAATTCAATGCGAGAGAAAACTTTAGATCTCTTGTTTTGTTTATTAGTGAAATTTAGCTTTGCATAATTTATGGACAAATTTTATAGGCATTAATTTTTTTTTTAATAAAAGCTCTTTTAATTGTACTGATCAAGCTAAATAGATAAAAGGAATTGAAGCTTGATTTTATTTATTGAATGTTTTAAAACATATTTTTTAGAAAAAAATGTTTATTAATATTTTGCATGTATTTATGTTTTTTGAAACATTTTAACATATTTAAGATATTTCAGTTACACATTATTTTATGTATAATGAATTTTATTAGATTTAAAATCCGTTCCATTTGAACCAGTTGGACGGTGGTTTGAAGGTTGCTTGAAAAGACAACGTTCTGAGAAATCAGCTTCAATAATTGAAGAGGTTGTTGATCAGCAAGATGACCTAGATTGTTTTGAAGAAAAAGAATTAAGTGCTGATGACAAAGCTTTCTTATTAAGCCTTGATGCTAGTGAATGGAAGGTAATTATATTTATTAATTTATCAAAATTATATTGTATTAGTTTATCAAAATATATTAAATTATAAAGATATATGATCTAAAATTATATATAAAAGTATATATTATATGACCTAAAATTATGGAAAGTATTAAAAATTGTTTTGTTTTAATTAAGTAGCTGTATAGATAACTTTGTCTACATAATGATTTGTTAATGTCTACATAATGAATCGATAATGAATTTGAAGCATAAAATTTCAGAATTATATTTATTAATCTCATTATGGAAAGAAGTTGTTAATTTTTTATCTATTTTTTCTTTGAAAATTTATAAACTAAAAAGTTTTAGTTTAGTGTAAATTTGTAAAATTTATTTTAGTGCCATGTAAACTGTCTACAATGATTACATTGATATTTAAGTAGGAGTGTAGCAAAAACAGTAATCCAAAAATTTAAGACTTGCTGTTTGTAGTTTGATACAAAAACCATAGAACTCCAAAGAAATACCATAAACAATTCTAGTCATTTTAAATGATAATAGGAGATACTAATACAATGCATGTTTGAAACAAAAGCTGAATCACAAATTGCTTTTTTAACACACATATAAAAGTTTTAATTTATTTATAAATGCGGATGTAAATTAAAAAAAAAATGTCACACATTGATGCAGTGAAAGCTATGCAAAATGATTAAAAAACAATCATTTTCAAATAAAGTTATGAGGTTTATGAGCTTTTCCTATCCTTACTCACAGTTAAATTGAAATTCAATATAAAGCATATCCTTACATAAAAAGCTTACATTTTCCAACAAATTAATAAATTTGTAACTCAGTTACTCTTGAAATATCCAATTTTAATAAAAGATTTTTTTTTTATTTCATTTAAAAAAATACCAAAAATATAAATGACCAAAAAAAAAGACCTAAAATATAAATCGTTGCAAAACATTACTACAGTGACTTTTGCAAGTAAATATCTTTAAAATTAAATATGTATTTTACCTCCAATATACAAATATTATATATATTTTTATGAAATAAAATATAGAATACTTGTGTAAAAAAAATATTTTTGAAACGATGAAGAATTGTAGTTTGCAATGTTATTTAATTCAATAAATGTATGTTTAAAAAAATGTTTCCCCTTAAAAACACAATAATAGAAGAAAGAAAAAAAGTATTACAAAAATTGCAAAATAAAAAATCCGAAACTATAAAAAACTGTATTGTGTTTTGCCATTCTTTTTTATTTAATAGGAAAAGTCTTGGTGTAAATGGTTTCTTAGTTGGAAAACTTTATTATTATTTTTTTTCAACAAACACCTAGAAGAAAAATGAATTGCAAAATCATTTCTTTTAGGAAAAAGCGTGTTGTTTTTTTTAATCTTACTTTGAGTCCTGTCTGATATAATTTCTGTACATAACTAAAGAAACCACGCTGAAGCTACTTTCTTCTTTGGAGCGAAGAAAGTAATTATGTTTGAGCATGGTTTTTGCATGCGTTTAAAAAGGCATTCAAAATATTACTTAAAATGACTGCATTTTTTTCTTATTTTACTTAAAGTAAAGTAATGTTAGTTTATATATTAAAAAAACTTATGAAAGTTTTAAAAATATTTTTCAAGTTTTGCTAAAAAATACTTATCTAATAGAATAAAGTTATTATGTTTATTATAATTTTAATTTTTTTATTGTGTGTTTAACAACACCAATAATATGATATTTTTATTAACTTATTATTAAATACTTAATATATACTATTATTTTTAAAGTTTTTAAAAAAACGTCAAAAGCACTAAGCATTTTTTTTGATGTTAAAGAAAGATGGTACAGAGGAGCATAGCATTAAAAGTAAAGGAGAAGAAGAGAGAGAAACTAAGCATGCGAAAAAAAGGTGCAATCACTTGGATTGTGCTATTACTTTAAGAAAATTGGATATATGGCCAGAAGATATTGAATTTATATTTTGGAACACCGTAAATGGATTGCCGCCAAGCAATAAAAAACACGGGCAACAATTAAGCTGGATTCATATTGACAAATCAAATGAGTGTTTCTCTTGTTGGGTTTGCCAAAAGTATCCAAATATTAGCAATGCAACCAATTCAGTAACAATGGTATGTAAATTTTGGAAAATCACATATTTGTTACGCCACAATAAAGATGATGGGCATAAAGCCTGTATTTCTAAATATCGAGAGAACCTTCACAATATAGCTCCAAGTCTTGAGAAAACTGTATCAACATCAATTTTAAGAACTACTGAAAATAACCAAGAAGATTTGAACAGACTTTTTGGGATTTCGTATTTTGTTGTTAAAGAGGATCTTGCATTTAAAAAATTTCCTTAACTGTGCGAGCTACAAAAGCTAAATGGAATTAAGTCGGGCAAGAACTACTTAAGTGACAAATCTTACAAAAAGTTTGTTTCGTCAATTTCTTCTGACTTAAAACGCAAATTAAGTTTAGATGTATTAAATGCTCGTTTTATTGCAATTTTATCTGACAGTTTTACTGATAAGAGTATTAATGAGCAAGAAACAGTTTTTTAAGGTTTGTTAAAAATGGTAATCCAATATCTATATTTGCTGGTATTAACTCACCACTGACAGTTGATGCTGATGGTATGTTAAATGCAATAGAATTTGTTTTGAAAAGTTTAACAACAGACAAAATGAATCAAGATTTATATTTAAACAATATTTATGTAAAAATTGTAAATGTTAACTTTGATGGTGAGTCTGTAATGTCTGGCAATAAAGCTGGTGTTCAAAGTAAAATGCAATTAAAACCCTAGTATAGTATATACCCACTGCGTGGCGCATAGATTAGAACTTTGTGTTAAACTCAATAAAGTTTGATATTTATTTAAAGAAGTTTGATGGAAACATCAATAGTTTGTTTCGTTTTTACTATTATTCATTGCAGCAAAGAAAAAAACTGAAAGAAATTGCTTCTTTTTTTAGATGAGGAATTAAACAGCTTGGGAGATTAAAAAATATTTGTTGGATAGCTAGTCGGGAATGGGTGTTAAGATTGCTTGAAACTGACTATTAAGTTATTATTTATGATTTAGAAAGCAAGGCAAGCGAAAAAGACAAAACTGCACAGAAAGCTAAAGGATTTTTGTGTTTCATGAATTTATTTTATTTACATTTTATTCAAGATATTGTTAAATCACTAACAACATTGTCATTAGAATTTCAAAAGAAGAAATTTTAATTTGTGAGATTTTGTGTGAAGTTGATGCAAGAATTGCTGTACTAGGCGCGTTATCAGTTAATCCAGGCTTGAATATTGGATGTTTACTAGATAATTTAGAAGTAAAATAAGATCATTTAATTTACAAAGGTATTGATTTAATAGCATTAAAAAAGCGTAATTTAAAGAGAATTGATGAGTTAGTTAGACAACAACCAAATGATTATTTTGATTATTATAATAAAAAATATTTTATAGAAATTATTGACGGAGCAAAAGAATATATAGACAAGCGGTTCCAACGCAATTTCAATCAAGAGCCATTAAAATCTTTAACCACAATCTTTGATTGTTGAAACTGGCCAAAATCCTTTACATGTTCGCTAGAGACAAAAAATTGAGGATTTAATGAAATAAAAATGTTTGCAACTTTTATGAATACAATAATATGATAAGCAGAGAAACGTCTAACTTATGTGTATTTCAGTGGCCTTTATTCAGGGAGAAAGTCTCTAAACTAAGGATAAATTCACTTTAAAGCATTTATAGAGATATCTTGCTGGAAAATGAACCTGAATTGGCAAGTATAAATATAAACTTTCAGTGCTTCAAAAGCAAGTTAGGAACGCAGTTTTTCTTGTATGAACTTACAAAAAATATTTTGTGAACTTCATTAAATGATGACACCTTAGAAGATATTATGCATATAAAGCTTGATGGCCAGTTAATTGAAGACTTTTTGCCCCAAAAACATGTCAAAAATTGGATTGACACAGCGGTTGGTATTAGACATTTGGAAGGCCATAAATTAAAAAGTTCTAGCAATTTTTAAATCCATTTATATAAATATAAAAATTAATATATAAATATTAATGAGAGTTCATTTTGCAATTTATTTCTTTAGTTTCTTTTATTTTAATTTCTTCACGTTTATACATATTTTTTATGAGTAAATAAATTTAACGAACTAAATTTAAAAAAAAAAGTTTTGCATCGTTAGATAAAAGTTTATAATTATTGCATATTAAAAATCAAATTTGCACGTACTTTGCAAATGCGTGAAAAATTGTTTCGAAAATATGGCAATTGATTAAATTCAATAACCATCTTTCATATATCAAAAAGCTTATTAACTAGAATAAAAATTTATTTGAATATAAAACTCCCTTATTTGACACATATCACTTAAATTAGATACGAACGTCAACGTCCGTGGAAAAAAAAATTTTGTTGCGCCCTGACAACACTCTTCCTCTTCATTCAATTTTGCAGTTTAACAAAAAGTGATACATTAAAAATTAGTGATATTTTCCTTTGAACAACAAACATGAAACTCAAATGCAAATTTATATAGTTAAATCTCATTTATATCGGAATCATAAAAAAAAAAAATTCCTTTAATAGTTGCAACTTAATAAAAATACTAAATACACATAAAGTTCTAAACCTAATTGTTACATCATTAATAACAAATATATTTCTATGGCTCAACCTTCATATAACATCATAAACCTGAAGAAGACCCAACTTATGATGCCCTATGTTAATTTTTTTTTTCCTTAACCCTCACACCTTATTTGCAACTGATTTAAGCCGACATTTAAAACTTCCCATCTGAGGCAACATAAATTCAAATTAAAAAAACTATTCTGTAAGAATGCTATCAGATCAAATTTTTTCTCTAATCGTATAGTTTTATCTACCGAGTGACATAATAGAAGCAGAATCAATAAATCAGTTCAAAAACAAACTAGATAAATCAAATATTTGCAAAAACATTTTATTACAAAATTGTTTTTAAGATAATTTGGTTTA